TATAATATACGTATGTTTATAAGCTGCCTCAATATATAACTGGAACAAGAAGTGTATAAATCAACACGCTGAGCAGTAACTACATGTTAGACGCTGTTGTAAGTGCGTTGCATACATACACACAACAACCCTAAGAGACGGGTACTCCCATCGCTCTAATTCTTAGCTGAGGAAACCCAGGTAGAGAGAAAGTTAAATTGCTTGTCCAAGTTTACGAAGCTAACAAGTAGTATAGTCCAAATCTGAACCGGGCAATCTGCGTTTAAAGCTGGGACTCTTACCGCTATGTTACACAACTTCCTACATGCCTGAACGACGCGTGATAGATGTTATAGTTTAGAAAGCAACTGTTCGCCTAGGGTCCTGTTTGGAGTTCACACTTAGACTGTCGAGTAAGCAGGAGACGATGACTAACCTCATTTTGCAGGTGAGGTCACTGAAGATAAGACATTAATGAAGTCCCCATACCGTGGGCTTCTTGGTACAGGGACAGTGTCTTTGCATCTATAAACTCAGTTTCTGACACAAGGTAGATGCTTCAGGCTTTGCTGACCGGCTCACCCTGTAATCCCAGCACTCTGGGAGGCCGAGGTGGGAGGATCGCTGGAGGTCAGGAGTTCGAAACTAGCCTGAGCAACAGCGAGACCCCGTCTCTACTATAAATAGAAAGAAATTAATTGGCCAACTAAAAACATATAGAAAAAATTAGCCGGGCATGGTGGCGCATGCCTGTAGTCCCAGCTACCTGGGAGGCTGAGGCAGGAGGATTGCTTGAGCCCAGGAGTTTGAGGTTGCCGTGAGCTAGGCAAACACCATAGCAGTCTAGCCCGGGCAACAGAGTGAGACTCTGACTCAAAAAAAAAAAAAAAAAAAAGGTAGAGAAAGGCAAAGCGGGAAAGGTAGCTGAGGTAGCTGATAAGTAAAGTACAGATATTTGACTACCACGATAAGCAGTTAGGGCTTTAACACACAGGAAATGGGGAACCGTCCAAAGTTTGGGGATGCAGGAAAGTGGAAATATGATGCACAAAATGTACGGCTCAAGATAGCTGGCAACGTGGTTTTCTACGGATTGGGGTCATATAAAACCACTGGAAATTAAAGAATCTGCTGGAATGACAAAACCAAGGGGTTGGAGAAGAGTTACTGACAACGCCAGTGTTTGCGGGCTATGTTGATTTATAGAACCGCACTTGAGCCCCAGGAGGGACGGCTGCCGCGGAGAGGAGCTCTGCAGTGTCCCCAAGGGGCACGGTCCCATGCGGCATATCCATTCCCTGCCAGGAATAGCAGTGAGAAGAGCAGGGGAGGAGCCAGCAGAGAGAAACACCGGGGTCTTTAGTTCGGGCAGAAACACGGCAACAGGAGCTGCCACCACTTTTTGAAGCAAAGTATGAAAAATACCAAGTTTTTGCATACATCCACAGACCGGTAAGAAAGGAATATCCCTCCAGTTTTCAAATGTGCATGAAGATTACTTGCATGGGGCTGAATCACGCACGCTATGGTTCCCTCGGACCATTTAAAATGCTTTACCCTACAGACACATCGTGCTAATAATAATAGCACACATCATTTCCTAAATATATTCTAATTTGAAGTATTTCCGAATTTCTATTTTAATTTCTTCTTCGACTATAAATTATTTAGATGTGTATTCACTGCCAGGCAGTTAAGAATGTCTTAGTAAAGTTGAGCTTAATTCTATTGTGGCCAGAGAATACACTAGGAGAACTCTCAGTCTTCTATATTCTTACTAATTTTTCATCTGTTCTATAAGTTCTCCAAGGGTGTGTGTTAATATCTTCTGCTAGAATTATAGATTTGTCTCATTTATTGCTGTCAGTTTTTGCTTTATATACCTTGAAGTTATATTATTTGTAACATACAGGTTTCAGGTTGTGATATCTTTCTGTTGGATTGACCCTTTATCACTGGGAAATATCTCTCTTTATTTCAAAGCGGCATTGCCATGAAGTTTATCCAATATTAGTGTAGTTATACCAGCTTTGCTTTGGTTAGTGTTTCTATTACATATTCTGTTCCAGCCTTCTATTTAAAGTATATCCCTTAAAAGCAGTATATAGTAGAGTTTTGGTTCTTTATCCAGTCTGAAAAATCCCAGTCTTTTACTTGGAGTATTTAGTCCATTTATATTAAATGCAATTATCGAAATAGATTTATAGCTACTATCTTACTCTGTTTTCAATTTGATATAGCTATTTTATGTCTGCCTTTTGTTCCTTTTTTGCCTTTTTGGTAATTGATCAAATATTATTTTATTCGATTTTTTCCTCTTTTAGCTTGTTGGATATATAGTCATGCATCACTTAATAGGGATAAATTCTGAAAAATATGTCATTAGGCAATTTTGTCATTATGTTAACATCATAGAGTGAACTTTACACAAACCTAAATGGGATAGCCTACTACATACTTATGCTATATGGTGTAGCCATATACAGCTCCTAGGTTACAAACCTGTACAGTATGTTACTAAATACTGTAGGCAATTATAACACAATGGTTAGTATTTGTATATCTAAACACAGAAAAGGCACAGTGAAAATACAGTATTATAATCTTGCAGAAGCTCTATCCTATAGTGGTCCATTGTTGACCAAAACATCATTATTCAGCGCATGAGTATTCTTATAATATGCATTTTTTACTCATTACAATCCAGTGCAAACTATGACTTATGCTACTCCCCCCAACAATCCTAGAACCTTAAGATACTTTAACTTCTTTAACCTCTCCTGCTTTTTGTGCTATTGTCATGCATTTTAATCCCACATACATTCTAAGCTCTACAAACACTACATTATTGTCAACATTCATTTATCTTTTACATATACATTTACCCTTCATCATGGTCTTCATTCCTTTCTGCATTTCCATCTGGGATCCTTTTCCTTCTGCCCACAGTATCTCCCTTTAGCATTTCTTGTCATGCAGGTCCACAAAGGAAAAACTCCCTCATTTTTGGTTTTCTGAATATGTCTTTATTTCACTTTCATTTTAGAAGGAAATTTTTGCTGGGAATAGCATTCTAGGTTGGCAGTTTTTATCTTTCTCTTCTTTAAAGATAGATATTTCATTGTCTCTCTCTCTCTTTTTGTTATCATCATCTATCATCTCTTAAGATGTCACAGTCAATCAAATTGTTGCTCCTATAAAAGTAATATGTCTTCCCCACCCCTCACCCTGGCTGTTCTTAAGATTTTTTTTTTCCTTTGTCATAAGTTTCCATAGTCTTATACTGATGGGCAAAGATGTGTTTCCTTTGTGTCCATTTTCCTTAGGGCTGTCTAACTTTTGAATCTGTAAACTGATGCCTTCCATCAGTTTGTAAAACTCTTAGTATTATGTCCCCAAATATTGCTTTTGACCTATCCTCTCTCTCCTCTCTCTTCTCCTCCTGGGACTCTAATTCCACATGTATTAGACCTTTCAAGCATGTCCCGTGTTATGTCTTTAATGCTCCCGCCTATTTTTTTTTTTCTATCCCTGTTTCCCTGTGCTTCAGTTTTAGATTATCTACTGACCTGGCCTTCCTATTTTGTCTTGTGTTATAAGCAATCTGCTACTGAAACTAACCATTAGGTTCTAATGTACAAATACTGCACATTCTGTTCTAGAAGGCCTATTCGAGTCTTCATAATAAATTCAAATTATCCTGAAATGAAATCTCCCTCCCTCTATTTTGTCCACCTTTTCCCTCTATTTTCTTGAACATATTATTCACAGTTATTTTAAAGCTACTGGCAGCTAATTCCAACGTCCGATCCATCTGCTGGTCTGCTTCTACTGGCTGGTTTTGAGTCCCATGATCTCGCCTCTTAGCATGTCTAATAACTCTTTTACTGCACGCTGAACACTATGGAGTCTTTGCATAATGTCATCTGCTACCTGTGAAAAAAAAAAGAGCTCTCCTTCTACTCTGTTAAGGAGGTAAGGAAGGGGGCTCCTCACCCAAAGAGAGAATGAGCTGGGTGCATTTGCCATTTCTGCAGGACCAGCCAGCATCTGCCCCGACCCTGCTTGCAAGGCCTGGCCCTGGGCGGCGGAGCTCAACCAGAGGTCCCCGGCTCCTCCTCGCCAGAGTCGGCCCTGCCCTCCCTCAGGAAGTCTCCGGCCCTGCTCTTTGGCCCCCAGCCCTGCTCAGCTTCAAAACCGGGCATGTGTCTCGAGAGGATGCAGCTCCCTAGCACACCGGGGGTTCCTCCAGTCTCAATTCTCTTTTTAACTCCAGCCTCAGAAACCTCTTCTGTCTTTTCTGTCTCCCAGAGGCAGCCGGGCCTGGGTTCTCAGCCTGGGTTCCCGTCTGCCAGCGTGGAAAGCGGCTGTGGACCTGCAGTCCGTCGGCCGGTCCCCCCACCCGGGGTCTTTCATCTCCTGCCCGCACGAGCCTAGGTCTAGTGTCTCCTAAGCACTGTGAGGCTGTGGGAGACTTCAATGTGCCTTCCAGAAGCTTCTCTTTCAGCCCCGCTCCAACCTCAGGTTGCACCAAATGCCTTGTGGGGGAAAACCAATCGCGTATTGGAGTGCCCCCCCCCGCCCTCCCCTCAGTCTCCAATCTGTCACTGCAGTGTGACCAGAAAACCTTGGCTGGTTTCCCTTTCAAACCCAGTAGCACCCCCTGCCTCAGCGCACACCCTCCAATGTCACACTGCCCTTCCACGGACAACAAAACGGCTGGCAGTCCCAGCGTACCACCGAGCCACTCTCCCTCCTCTGGGATTTCAGCCCAACTGTCCCTCATTGCTTCAGTGGCACTCTGACGTATTTGATTGAGGATGTGATTTTTATCACGTACTCGGCTTTTTGTAGACATTGTTAGCATCTCTGATAAACTCGATGATGTATTTTGTGCTACTGATTACTTTCGATGAATCTTCAAATATTTTATAAGACATTTAGTAGTCTTGATAGTTTCCAAAGCACAGTGTCAATATGCTTTTTGAAATAAAAGCATCAGTAAAACGGTGACTTCTTACCTCTTCATAAAACTTCACCTGAGGTACAGCTTCATTAATTTCATTCAAACAAAAATCTTTAAATAGCAAGAAACCTAAAGGAAAAGAATAAAAAATTTCAGGGTGGGCAGTAAATCGAAATTTTATCCCACAGGGTGTTTTCAAAGTATTGTGTTGATATAGACACCTCTTCCTCCCTTACCTTTTAAAAGAATGGATTTTAAGAAGCTAATTATTAATATATTCTAGAAGGAAATATCCAGGTAAAAGAGCAGCACATACCTGGCTCCTGGCTTCGGGGCTTCTTCTCCAAGCACACACCCTCCCACTTTCTAAGAAGGCATGGGCCAGGGGTCACCCCCCCGCTGGCTCACGCCTCACCGCAGTGAGCAAAATAGCAACCAAAGGAACGAGAAGCACAGGTAGAAAGGAAATGTTGGTGAGAGTCACCATGGAGCTAATAAATATTATGCCCTTAGAAACAGGACTAAACTCCCCCCAAAGACAGAAGCTTCACAAACTTCCTAACCCCTTCTCTCCCTACTCACGACTTCCAAGCCCCCCACCAAATACCCGGTGCCAGGGTATTTCCGAGGTCATTCTTTGCGCCTTCGCAACTAACTCCGTGTCTCACCTTTAAACAATCAACGCCTTGTGTCTAGACTACCACCCCCTTCCCTAACAGCTCGGAAACTCCGAACGTGACCTTCAGAATTGGATTCCAGAGCCCGCTCTGCTCTGAAGTCCCCTCTGGTGAGATGGACTCTATTGCACAGTGCCCGGGCCTGGTACACACAGCAGGAGGTCAATAAATGTCTGTTAAACAAATGTTTGTTCAGGCAGTTTATTTCCAACGCGTCTCTGTCAAAATATTCAGCACGCTTGAATGAATGATTTTTCTAAGGCTCCCGCCCCATTTGAAAACCTGGTCCCCAGTTTAACACCTGCCACAGTCAAGCCCAGATGAGCAAATGAAGTTGAACAGAACAAGCTGATAGCAGACCGAAGGTAGAGACACTTGTAGATTATAACCTCCCCCCCCACACAAAAAAAAGTCAAAGCAATTAAAGGAAGTCATAGAAGGGAACTGAAGGAAGACTCACAAAACGTCTAACATGTACAGAAGAAGGGGACCAGGATCCCTCAGGGAGGATGGAGAGAAAGGACGCAGCTTTGACAAGATTTTAACTAATGTTAGTACCAGAATCTTGAACTTGCCGGTTCCTCCTCCATAAGTTAGTCCCCAGGAATTTGGGGACGAACATGACCTTGGAAAATGGCAAATGCCCACTGACTCAAACTAGAAGAACGTGATTAAAGACTAGTAAGGAAGCAGGCAAGGCCAACACACAAAGAAAGGAGGAAATGCAAGCAGCGGACACACAGGCTAGGAGACCAGTCTCTACCTATCCGCATATTAGTATATTCACATTTTAAATAAGCGTAATGGTTGTGTCTCCATTTTCTTTCATTTCAACGTGATTCCTACTTCCCTTGTCATTTCTTTCTTGACCCGGGAGTCACTCAGAAATGTCTAGTTTCATTTCCAAAAATTTGGGTCTTTTTCCAAGTATTTTTTTTTTTTCTTTTTAGATATTGATTTCTGTTTAACTCTGTTGTGGTCAAAAACATGCTCATGTGGTTAGACAACATACTTAATGTGATTTTAAGGCTTTTAAATATACTGAAATTTGATTTGGGCTCCCCCAAATTTGGTCCATCTAGGCGAACGCTCTATGGCCCTTGAGAAAAATTGCATACTCTGCTCTTGTAGGGTGGAGTGTTTCGTTTAGAAGAATAAAAAGGCAATTAAGCCAAGTCAGCTCCATACAGTGGTTCACATCTGAATCCTTGCTGAATGTCTGTCTACTTATCCATCATCAACACAAAAATATTAGAATCTCCACTTGTAATTATGGATCTGTTCATCTTTTTTCGGTTTTGTCAGTTTTTGCTTCGTATATTTCTTTTTGCTATTTTTGGAAGAGAGAAGAAAAACGACGATTTTGAACTTAGGTGTTTTGATCAAACTAGAGATGTTCTTCGAAACGTCTAACTGACAAAATGGGATAACCCCGCACGCGGACCACGGGCCGCTGAATGCACTTGGGACCAAACTGGAACGCCTCCCCACGGCCTGTCACACCTCCTGACTCCAGTCACGGTTTCCTTCAGCTGCATCTCACGTCGCACCCCGAGCTCACGTCACTCGGGCCACCACGCTTCGGTGCTGCGGCTTCTCGAACACCAACCTCACTCCCTTCTCTGGCTTCCTTCCTGCTGTGTCCCCACTTCCTCCAATACCCTTGCCCTGGGTCCTCTGGACTTTGACAGCTCGGTCCAAATGGCACTTTCCTCAAGAAGGACGTCCACGATTCTCATTCATTCTCATACTGTCTCTCCCATCTCTCAACCATGCACATGCACACGCATGCACACGCATGCACACGCACGCACACGCACGCCACGCTTTGTCTACAGCACTTGTGACTATCAAAAATCAGCACATGCACCTGTTTGCTCCTTCACTGCTGACCTCCCCCACTACGGGGTGCACTGCAGATGGACAGGCACGCGTGTTTTATTCGCCACTACGTTTGCAGCAACAAGAACGTTGACTGTGACTCAAACAGAGCTCATGAGAGGGGACGAAGGGGGAAAGGTGGCAGGGAAGGAAGAAGTACAAGGGACGGGGGGAAGGGAGGACAGAAGAGGAAAGAAAGAGGGGGCCCGAGGGAAGGAGGGAATGAATAAACCCCCAGCTCAGAATGTTTTCGCCTACTTCTTTAATGCAGTTTCCATCGTCCGTGTGCAGAAGAGGCCAGGGAATTAGTTTAACGCACTACAGGGAAAACCGAACAGTTATTTCCCTGGTGTCTGCACACAAATTGAAGCTGTACTTTCTGCCAGCTGTTCAAATTGAGCTGTTAAAATGGAGCAGCCAGGAGAAAGACATTCTGCCTTCTGGATGGGTCCTAGACCACTGTGTTCCAGGAGGAAAGCCATCTACTTTCATCGGCCTTAAATTACATAAAAAGCAAATGAAGCATTACTCAGATTAGAGCAAAAACTGAAGAGCAAAAATAAGGAAATACTTTGCCTAATAAGTTCACTGCATCATTGAGATTTCTCCAGATTTTAAAGAATAAAAAAAAATAGTGACCTAACACCTGCTTTCTAGATAACTGTGAGATGTGTTTACCTTGTTTCTATATTTGAATCACTGCAAATTGCCTGAATACTATTGACTTTTTAGTGTATATAACACCCAGGAAAGGCAAACTATCCCAATTTGCGACCACAATATATTGCAAAAATTAGTAGGAAGAACTGTATTGATTTTGATAAAATACCAATAAGTTGAGAGCTTTTAAAAGTATAAAAGGTAAGTGGTTTCTATGAAAAATTTTGACATTTAACCTTCTAAAAAATTAAAAAGGGAGAAAGAGAAATCTGAAACTTTCTTGCAAGACATAATACTTGTCCTAGGTTTTCGTCAAGGAGTTAAAACACTGGGAAAGAAAATAGATTGTATAACTGCTAAAACTCCCTACCAATATTGACTAATTCTACAAAGTAACCACTAGAACATATAAGCAAATTTAGCAAGGCCACAGGATATAAGGTCATTAGATAAGAATCAATGAAATTCTTATATACACATAGCATACAATTTTAAAATGAAATTTTAAAAACAATTCAATTTGCAATAACATCAGTGAACAATCAATACTTAGGAATAAATAAGTAAGTAAATACAAGACCACTCAGCTCATGGACTAGAGGACTCAGTATTGCTTAGACATTAATTCTCCCCAAATTGGCTTATAGAGTCAATACAATTATAATCATAACTCCAGCAGGCTTTTTTAAATGCAGTGACAGTCTGCTTCTAAAATTTATATGGAAATATAAAAAAACCTAGAATACCCAAAACATCTTAAGAAGAACAAAGTTCAAGGACTTAACACAATCCAATTTCAAGACTCATGATACGGCCTTATTAATCAATGCAGTGTGGTACTGGCATAAGACTAAATCAATGGAACAGAACAGAGGGTCCAGAAACACGCCCACATCTATTCTGGTCAAGTTAAGTCTTTTTAACAAATGATACTGGAAAAACTAATATCCAAATGGTGGGGAAAAAAAAATGGAAAAAAACTGTTACCTCGCACCTTATCAATAATTATATTAGGAATTATCATGGAACTAAATGTGAAGGCTAAAATTATAACGCCTCTAGGATATAAACTTATCTTCACACACACAAAAAATGATAAGTTATCAAAATTTAGAACTTCTGTTCATCCACAGACACTGTTAAAAAGTACAGACCAGCCACAGACTGGGATAAAACATTATGAAGCCTAAAGCAGAAAAAGACCTTCTATATGTACATCCAAAGGAATAAACAAACAAAAACTCTTACCAATCAATCTTAAAAGAAAAACCACCCGAGGAAAGAAGGACCAAGAAATCCAAACACTTCACAAAGCTTAAACATTTCACGAAGAAAGAGACAGGGATGGCCGGCGGGCCCATGGAAGCCACTCGGCATCACTGGTTATCAGGTGACTGTGAATGAACCCACTCTGAGATGCCACTTGCCGGCCACCAACACCAAGTGCTGGCGGGGACGCCGGGGAGCAGGAACTCTCCCACGCTGCTGAGAAGGGACGACACTTTGGGCTCCACGTGCCTCTGAGTGGACAGGCCAAAAAAGGGGGCTCTTGTGCCGGCCGGAGTGGCCGATTCCGACAACCAACGGGAAATGAGGGTGTCTGGACACAAGAGACTGGGTAGGTCTGTCTTACTATTGCCACACCCTGTGGGTGACGTCAGTGGAAAAGTATAACCCAAAGCAGGCAGGATTACTAATGGCCCAGACCCTTCAGGAAGGAAGGCTGGGTCACCCCACCAGGTAAAGGTACTTGCTAGTTAGTGGCAAAGGGGACGTGGAATGGGTAGCAGAAGAAGGTAGTTATGAATACCAGCTACAATCACGTGACCAGTTACAGAAATGAGGACTGTGGTTGTGGTGAGTACTTCCTCCTTATCTTGTGTGTGTGTGTGTGGGGGGGGGTGTTGGTTG